AATTAAAGCAGTACAAGTTCATGAGACATTCGTATTTCTAGTTGCTGTTTATTTGATGTTCTTTCTTACCAGTACATACTGACCCTGCACTGCCTTTTACAGTTTGAAGTGGACCAGGTCTTTAAAAATGCTACAGAAGTGAATGGGCAACGTGGTGAGTATGGTTCGAGCACAAATACTATAGGAGTATGAAAGCTCATCTGTGTTGATATCTAAATTTTACATATTGAATTTCTTGGTTACGGACATCCTACGGATGGAAGATAAAGCCACAGGCCACATTTTGACCTCCATGAAAAATGGAGGTACATGTATTGTAACACCTTGAGCATGTTAAAGAATCCACCAGACTTATAAAAAAAGACTAGAGGTCCTTCCTAGTGTGAGTGGATCAAACTCTATACTCCAGTCACACGTAGCTTGTACTTACTGTACAAAACTGTGTTACGCCAAAAGGTCATTTATCAGTTGCAAAACAAATGTTTGACATTGTCCTCCTGCCTTGCTCAGGTGTATCGCATCAGGTAGGTGGTTGACAGGGTTAAATTTCTTGTGTTCAATAACAGTAAAAACCCCAAGTAAACTTTTTTAGGAGTTTTAACACACTTCTTGCTGTTATTGTTTTTTTATCATTGCACCATGGAATATGTAAAGGGCAGAAAGAAGGTTAATCAAAAGCAAAAATATAGCTTATACTGAGTATTTATTCCATATCATATCATATCACCTCATGTCTAGATCATAGGGAGTAATTTGACCTTTATTGCTAGAGATGACAGGTACATTCCCTCAACATTTTAATTCATACCTATGAGGTATAAGTTTAATGCACATATACGTACTATAGGTCTAGTCAAGTACATGTATTATCAGTGTAAAATCATACTAAAATGTGCATTAGAAACAACGGACACATTTCAATACTTACAAATACATAGTATTAGTAAGTCCAGGATTATCCATGGAGTCAGAACCCTCCTACCTCCATGGATTATAATAATACATGTGTAATTTTCTGCAAGTCTACTACATGAAGTATCTTTTCTGACTCGTAGACAGCTAACTTTTAAAATTACAGTTCAGGGATCTCCCCAGAAATTTAGAACAGGATGGGGAATTAACTAGTTCTTCAAGCATACATGGCAGCATGTAGTAATGTGAGATTACTGTAGGTATTCATGTGTCAACAATTTTCAGAACTGGCTTCCTGGTCAATCATATTATAATCAGTTGCCTAGAAAAATTGAAGAATTTTATTGGTACATGCATGCACATTGAGCACAATGTTTGTAAGTATGCATGTACCTCTTTCAACTCCCTTGATGTCCTAATAAGCAATGTGTATTGAAAGTACAGAACATGTATCCTTGCTTTAGCTACTGCAGTTTGTGATATTGTCACTATGTGGTGCTTTTAACGTTTGCTTGCCATTGTTGTGAGCTGATCAGTTTTCTTCCATGCTATGAAGTGACTATCATGACTTAATAGATTGGATTTGTGCAGTTAATTCATGAAAACAAAAAAAAAACTAAAAATGCAAAGTTAGTTTATTCTATCATAAACATGATAACAAGGCAAAGTAAACAATGTCATGAAATGCAAGGAAAACATGCTCATAGTATCACAAGTGCTTTGCATAAGATTAAGATAAAACCAGAAGTACAATACAAAGCATGTCATTTCAGCACCATCATTTTCTGCCTTCTATTTTTACGTCATAGGAATATCTTTAGGATTCATATCTTCAACCAATGTGCTATCTCAAAGTTCATTTATTTAAGACACCCTAGTTGAAGACATGTAATTACAACATTTCTACATGTAAGATTTGCTATTCCAGCATTTCCACGTTGTTACAAGACAGCCATGTTGATGTACTTCTGCTTTAGTTTGCTAGGTGGTGTTGTTGGACAAATAGCCAACAGAGCTGGAGTCTCAAAAAGTGACAAAGCTAGTTAGGGATGATGCCACTCTTACACCTTTAAAGCAGCATCTGCCTAACTAGTTTATTGTGTATTTCAAAGAGAAGCTCCACTAACCTTGTCACCTCCTACATCACTCCTATGCTGTGATGTTTAATCCATCAAAAAGGATATTGAATTTGGAACATTATTGCTGTAGATTAAATTTCTTCTGCATAAAAGTATTACATGTATTTAATATACTACTTGTCAATTTTTTAAAAATTTTTGTACTGTATGTCAGCCCCTTACATTGGTAATAAAGTTTCAAGCTGTGTCAATATTTTCAAACACTGTAAGGTCCTCAAAGCCTATTGTGTCAAAAACATGTTGATCCATACTTCATTGTTCCATCTCTCTAGTGTTGGAACTGGAACCCTTTATAAAGGTGATGTCCTCCAAGATGGCCACACAGGACAAGGATGAGGAAATCCGACAGGTGTTCCTAGCCTTCGACACGCACTGTAAGTACCTGACTACCTATACCTATACCCTGTCTACATGTATCTGTATTGTACACTGATTCTACCTGTTACAGTAGCGCCCCCTAACATGCTATGGCAGCAATGCATCAATGCCTGTACCCCTTTCTTGATTGTATGGTCATTTGATGATTTAGACAGCTAGTTTGTTCTGTATGGCGACAGATTTGAACAGTTAGAATAAAACCTTTCTTGTAATTTGTCCAGGCCGTGGGTTCCTGACCTTAGATGACCTTTTGAGGGCGGGGTCTCTGGTGGCCCCCCACATCCCCAGACACCGGATGGAGGCTGCGTTCAGGTATGTCTGATGAAGGAAAATCAGGAATTCAACTGGAGAGCAAACAAAGACTAGAGCAAACATAAGGTAGAACAATACTTTTTTTATCTATTGTTTATTATAATTTTTAATTACGACATTTTGATGGCGAAACTTTGATCTTAAAAAAATAAATGGATCTTGATGGACAAATGTTTTGTCACAGACTGAGAGCTTACTAGGAATTTACTCAAACCATTGGTTTAACCCACAAGAAGAGGTATAACACTAACTTTATTGACTGAATTGTAAGTACACACATTAATTGTAAGCATTATCCATTTAAAGAGGCTAACTAAGGGTTTTCAGTTGTTCCTAATAATGTGTAATTATAGTCTACAACAGTCTCTGTTGAAGTTGCCCACTGAAATCAGACATCAGTTATAACTGTTATCATGAGGTAAATGAGGGCCTTTTGGTGAGGATACCACAAACTGTCGGGGCAACATATTGAAACCTCCTCCCATCAATCCAAAAGAAAACTGTGATCTTTATGACGGATCATTTGTAACACCGTACTATAAATTGTCTATGGGTATTTTTGTCTCATATGTATGGATTCTTTATACATTTTCTTTGATATTTTGTTGTAAGCATCATGCTTCAATACTGACACTGACATGACTTACATTTTTGTCAGTAGACCAAATGTGCTAGTCTATCTGAATGTAATACTATTAGTGCTTCAAGTTAAAGCTAAAGCCTGGCTTTCTTTTCTACTTTTTTGACTTATCAGTTCTTGTACTTACTCCAAAAAATGATTCCATCATGATTGTAGAATAGTCAGTGATTTTACTGACAAACAACATGCAAACATGAATCAGCCCAGCTAGTGTCGCAGCAATTTTTATCGGATTGAGGATCCGCTGTAATGTCATCACCACATCCTTGTTACCGGCTAACTGTAACAACAAGAGGAGCTAACACACCTGACCTTGCACCAGTCAGCCTCCGAAAGCACCCTTAATCACCAACACACGCCGCTGTCTCCACGGCAACTACAGAGGCTTCGGCAGCGATAATCCACAACACATCCCAATTAAATGCTAAGAGCCTGTACCTTTTCACCCGCTCAACAAAAGGTGCACCGGATAAACAGCCTTATTTCAGTGCTTGACAGTGATGTGGAAAAAATTCCCAGAATATGAGCTAACATGTAGCCTTCAGATACATGTAGAAGGTTGAACTACAGGTGGGGACAGGATTTGTTTGTCATGATTCACACAATGTATAGCATATTCTCAAAACATCTCATTCATCCTTCACCTTTCATTTCTTTTGTAAGCATACCATGAATGTGTGTTCAGATATAGACATGATGGTGGGTTGTACAATGCCAGGTATGGCTGTATTGTGAAAGTGGATAATACTAGTATTATGTGTATGTACATAATGACACAAATGTAAGTTAAAGCACAACAACTCATTATTGGTGTCAAAGAAGCAGGCATGGTCTCTTGCTCGTTGTTTATTTAATAATTTGTTTATTATTAAGATTTACGACATTTGTGGAAAGATTGACATGATAGGTGACTGTTGCCATTTCATGATGTCAACCCTGAGACCAGACTGTAAGGTTTGATCCAATCTGGGAAGGGCCCCTTTTCGATAAGTGGTGATGCTTGAGGTGTTACTCTACTCAAACATGGGACCTCTGGCTATACATCCTATCCGAGAGGATGTCCCTAACCAAAGCTAGGTACTTGTTGTCACTCGAATACATTACACTGCTGGGGCCTGCCATTGGGATTTGAAGCCAGACCCTTCATATAGACGTCATTTCTTTTCAAAATTAATTAAAGAATACCAAACTCAAGAATGGATTTCTATAGCCATTTTTAATACATCCACTGAGATGCCAACACAAGTAAACACTAGTATTCAATCTTGACCTGAGTTGAAAACCGAGGAGAGGCTAATAGGATGTTGCTATGGCAACATTGTGTTGTTTATGATTGATGGTAGTGAGGCTGGGTTGGAAGGGCAGGTGGAGGTCATGTGGAGGATAGATAACAGGACGTTAATGAAATCCCAGTTGACAGGGTTAATAATATGGACACGGAAAGTCAGCACAATAAATTACACCTTCTATAGCCTTTCATCTGTCATGATTTCTAGAAAATAACATGTTAAGTCCATGACTTGAAACTCCTGGTTAATCAAGTGTGGCAAAGGTCTGTAGACTTGTGCAAAATACAGACTGAAAAGAAAGGTGATTTTTGTCAGGTTTAAGAATCAAGACAAGTTATATATATAATGCAAAGTGTAGTACATACATGTATGCATATAATGTGAGGAAGACCAGGTTTCCCCATTGCAGTATGAATGGGGGACAGTCAGTGCTAAGTACATTTGACAGTTCAAAGTCAAGGTGTTTTTACTGACAGCACTACTGAAAATCTTAAATGTCCGACATGGTTTTATTATCACAGAGACCTCTCCATGAATTCATGGCACTGTCAATATGTTTCCATTCCACTGATGCTGTATTACTATCAGTACAGTACAACAGAATTGTTTAAAACATCGCCAAAAACCCCTTGCTACATTTCCTGTGCAGTTCAGTTATAAATGAATTTACAGTTATGTGATGGCAACATAAAAGTGTTGATAAACTCTGTTTGCCCCACAGGGAGGTGGACAGTGATGGGGACAGCAGGGTCAGCTACAGGGACTTTGAATACATGATGAAGTACAGCCTGGATGACAGGATGTGACCTCTGACCTCAAGAGCCAAAAGTTATTTCTGGTTGGAATATAAACCCCCTTCAAATGTTTATGATATTGATGTCGCATGGGCTGGAGATGAACATTTTCTAAGATTCATATAAGGTACCCAGTATTATTTTTGACATCAAAATTGCATTGTTGTTTGACCTTGGCTTAATAAATGGCCACTTGGCAGGATTCCAAGGACATTCTGAAGGCTGGGAAATGGGCTATTTTACCCCATTAAGGTGACCATCAGACAACTTTTATTGTCATCCTTGACTGATTTTGTATCAGGTATCTGGTATTATTACACATCAGCTATTTACGTACAGTATTGTTGCAACAGCATGCAAGTTTGCTGTTTTTATCAGTTATCAAGTCTTGAACCAAACTTTACTTACTTCCTAAAAAGTTGTAAATACCAGTAGTGTACATGTACATATCTTTGGTTACATGGTTATCACGAGTAAAAGTGTTAGACCAGTGCAACATTACGAAAGTTTTTTAATGTGTTTGTGTAAGGGGAGGAGTGGTGACAGACGATGCATGTGGTAGGAATCTTGTTGCTATGAGACGCTAGCACTCACAAAGGTCATCAGTGAAGGCTCAATTGCTTACATTTCATTGGGCATGTAGAATTGTGTTTTCTGCCAATCCATGACAATCATGTACCAAACATCAACAAAGACTGCGTCACAATTTCACACCTGAATTCTCCGTGAAGAAAGACATCACTGAATTCACATCATTACAAAACCTGTGACCTCTTAGTTTCATTTTCTGTTTTGTAAATTTTCAACTACATTTACACCATATATTTGTATGCTTCCCACTCTTGTTGACAAGAGGAAGTTCCATAACAAAACGTCATAGGCCTCGCCAGTTACGTGCGATGACATCAGAAATGCCCTGGCCAAGGTCCCTCGCCTACACATAATTATAGGTTTTGTATAGTGTTGAAGGATTACAATGGAGACGAGGATTTAGTTGTCAGACAGGCAGTCAGACATGGTTCAACACTGACAACAGCCAGAAAATTTTGATCATCACCAATAGGTTTGAATTTTAAAAACATCAAAACAAATGTAATCCAATGGATTTCTTTGTAAAATCATACATTTTAAACATTCAAATATTATAAAGTGAATAACATTTTAAAGTGCATCAGTGACTTAATTCACAAAAAGTACAATGGCCTCATGGCCTTAGCCCCATGTTATTTATTGCTACACTGGTATGCCTTTTTTCATTACCTGTTATCTCCAAGTCATAGTCATGTCTGGTTATTTTCAGCTGAAAAAACAATGTATTTGCTGATAATGCACTGTTGTATTATGCCACGAATACTAGTGACAAAACAGTTTTACATGCAATCATGCATAGAATTTCATGCACTTTCAAATAATGAATTCTAAACTTTGTATCAAACCAATGCATTGATAGACGAAAAAACTGTTACAACTATAGGAAGACAACGAGCTTTTGTCAACTGTTTGGGCCTAAATATGAGCATTTTGGTGTTGATTCAGAATCTGAATCTTTTTTTTTCCTTTTCAAATCAGAAAAAAATGAAGATGGTGAATCCGAGAACCAATTATTTAATTTGGTATGGCCTTATGATAGATAACAGGCTTCTGTGCAAATGCGTCATGCAGATCTCAGTAATACCATAATATGATCTATGGAGCTAAAGATGCCTGGTGACTCATAAATCTATCCGCATGTCATTAGACATACTATTTGATTCCCCATCTAATGATGTTTGTGAGGTTACCATGGTGATGCAACAACACCCATCTATCCATTACGTCCCTCTGCTAAAACATAAAATGACAGTATGTATCTATCTCTGTTAATTCTTTATGTCAGCTAGAAATCCTATGTCATCTCATATCTTTGATTATGACTGCCAAAATTGAAAGATACTTGTCAATAGAGATATTTGTGTTTCATTGACCTTGATAAATTTTGTCAGGAAATTTACCTTCTAGAATTCAATTCAAGTTGTAAAAATAAAGACAAAAGAGATCTGCAATGATCTTGCATCAAAATATATATCCAACGTTTTTTAATGTACTTCTCTTGTTCCACATTTCTCCCAACAAAACAATGCAAGAAACACAGAATTAAATTTATGTGGCCTAATGACAGAGTAGTCCACTCAGTAGTGCAAAATGTACATCAAACACCAGCTCTTTGTCAATGAATGAGGTCTTATAAGCTGAAGAGTAGAATCTCCACATGTCCAAGTGCAGCCCAGACAAAGTGAGAATGTCTACAAGTGCCTGAACATTGCTGCAGAGCTGATACTTGAGACAGATAGTCAGACAGTGCTGGTGTGAGGGATCAGTCGTCGGGGCGTGCCAAGTTTTACCTGTGACGACACTGACCAGGACTGTATTAGTCTGTAACAAACGAGGTTCAACATGCATCACAAGGTAAGATACAATCACAGTGTCAAATGTGAACTGGAAGGTAGGTTAATGTCTGAGAGACTTTTTGGATAGAAAACAGACAAGATGGTAAATACATGTACTGTACAAGTGTACAGAAACAAATACAAGTGGAGGGATTTTAGTATCATTCTCATGAGAAGAAAGGGTGGTTAACATTACTTTCTTTTGCCTCTTCTGCACACTCTCAAGTCTCAACTGTCTAAAACAGATGATCTCCCATGAGTAGAAAAAAAACCACGTAATGGTTGCATGTTGTCCTGTGATTCATAATGCAGACCTTAGTCCTATTAAAGGAAAATTTGTAAAGTGTACATCAAGACATCTTGGTAAATACTGTTCTTTTTTTTATTTCAGAAAATATTTGCATCTGTAGATCTATGTCTTAGTGTGCAAGATTTCTAAGTTGTTGGCCTTGATTTCTGTGTTATGTTTTCATGTTTTCTTGCTCCACAGACTGTTGCCAGGTCTATTTCAGTCAAGTAACAAATCACATTTATTCTTCCAATTTGCACAGGAATAATTGGCATAACATCTTTGCTTTGCTTGAGGAGATTTGCTTCTGATCTACTAAATTACTAATGGATGAGTCCATTTGGAAAACATATCAAACACACTAAGGCCACACCAATTTAATTTGTCATTTCTCAGATCATACATGGAAAAAACAATAAGGAAGACAAGGACTTTCTTCAACTGTTGGACCAAAATATGTCAGAATTTGAATCTGAGTTGATTCAGTTGAAAGTATTTGCAAATCAGAAAAAAATGAAGCAGATGAATTCAATAACCAACTGATTAAATTTGTGTGGCCTAAACATACAAGGACACAAATTTGGTAGTTTTAACCTGATTTGCCTGCTAGCTATTGTGTATTAAACCATGGGTTGCTAGAGTAACATGGGCTTCAAATAAATCGTATTTGAAGCTCCTTGAGTAGATTTATTAACCTTTGTCAACCAAATCTGAAGGGAACTATTTTTGTTCACTTCTGATAGCTTTCTTTCTTTGTGGTAGCATTACAAAAGACTATTCTAATACCTGTGAAATTTACCATGTTTAGGCAGAAAGATCAACCATTTAAGTAGAAAACTACTTGCACAGGTGTGGCAGTTTTATCATAGCACAGATGTGGGGATTACAGTACGGTTATTGTGTCTGCTGTGGTCTCACCTGTCTAATGTGTCTGATTGTCTATTGTGAGGTCTGTCACAGCTAATCAGTTAATGACTACTGTTTCCAGGTAAATACAGAAAAGAAAGGATGCACTATCGCAAAGCTGTGCCATACGTTCTCAGAGAACCGCCTTACAGAATTGTAACATCCGGCAACATTCTCAGATTCCTCCATAAATCATATCTAATTTTGCTCTGAGCCATTCTGCCGGCAACTCTGCTGCCCTTTTTCAGACTGCCGGGCTGACACCAGACGATATTGCTCAGATAATAGGCGAAAGGGAGCAGAAATTGCTTGTTTCTGGCCATGCAGACTGGCTCATCTCAGACCCATCTGCCCATAATTACTCCCCTAGGAATGGATACATGTGTCATCAGACCCTCCTACAGTCCCTCCCAGGCGCTTTATTGCCTGCTCTCAGCCACCGAAAAGTGAGCAGCAACTGAGACCTGTCAAACATCACCTGAAGGTACATGTAGTCTCCACCAGACTAACAACGCGGGTTCAAAAACAGTAAAATTTAGGCAAATAGGGAGAATAATTGGCCAGTGGAGGTAAGCCAGGCAGTTTCTAAGGGAGAAATGAAGCCATAACGGTGGACCCACTCCCCTAGCTGGCCAGTCAAACCCAATTTTATGATGAATTTTACCATCCTTACCAAGCCTGGAGGATGCTAACCTGAAGATCTACAAAATATCCTAAAAATCAAAATTTTATATTCTGTTTTTGTCACTGAATAAGAATGAAATATGTAACGACTTTTAAAAAGTGTCACTTTCAAACAAAGCTATAGATACTTACTTAGGCAATATTTTGTTTTAATTTGCAGTAATTTATAGTGAATTTCTCAACAACATTGTTTTGTTTTCTTGTTGCTTGGAGGCACATACATATATTACACCTTTGCACAGTGATGATGGCTGTTGTTCAAGGCTAATTTATTACATCAATGTTTACTTCAACAATGTTTGCTTCAATCTGACAAAGTACATTCAAACCAAATGTGTATCTTATTCCTCTCACACGACCCAATTTGGATTGTTCTATCGGCTAAAATTAGCTAGGCAAGGGAGCGAGTACTTCAGTGATTGGGCTTGCAGGAAGACTCTAACCACTGGAAAATGATTACTGTTATCTGAGAAGATTCTTGCTGTGACTGGTGCAGCAGATATTCTCTTAATTACAATCATCTGCTGTGACCCCCAGGAGGAGAGTTCAGCAGGTAATGTTTGCGTGATTGTTATCTAAACACAATAATGTGCTGGTAAGTAGGCAGATGATATAAACAGGTGCCACCCATTGCCCCTACTGGTGTGCACATTTTCCTTTGTGTTGTCTGTTTCTGTGTCAACTTGCGTGGTCTGCATTCTGGATGTAACAGATAAGAGCCAATGTTGTCAACAGTAACAACAGATATTTAGCCATCAGAGGAAGTGTTCAAGTTAATTGGCTGTGACATTATAGCTTTTTGTCACCACTTTGTCATCTATTTCATACAAAAATATGACAATGGACAAGTGTCAAAACTTTTATTTCAATTCTAGTCTGCAAAATAAGGCTGACATATTGTAAAAGTGCCTTGCCTACAATGTTAGGGTCTAAGTCAGACTTGACCATGATATCAGACTTGACCATGATAATGTTCATTATTATTATACGCATTTGTTTTCAGGAAACATTCAGAATCAAATGTCTCCTAAGTTGATACATAGCAATGTAGATAACACCAATTTCAAGCAGGTTTGTTGATGATTACATCCATTTGACTATATATAGCTTCCTAATGTCGAGATTTGAATAGGGTAGTTCTTCTCAGTCTGATTACATTTTTGTTGTATGTTTCGTCTGACAGTCCTACCCTTTTCTTTACTTTTGCATCTTAAGTGGTTCAATATTCTGTACCCTGTCATTGACTTCAGCACAGCTATTGCATAAGTGTCATTTCTTTTATCGTCTCAGTCACCCACTGTGTTTTGAAAATCTTTTCATGAATATGTTATAGATTTGAAAGCCAGGCTGTATCCAATCTTTGGAGCATTGTATGCGTAAAGCTGAGGAGATTTTGGTGCTCAGGGTGTCCTTTTGTATGGTACAGATTTCTACGAAATCAGCAGGACACATTGTAACACATTTTACTGATTCCGTAACAGTTAAAAACTCCTACATTTGATACAAGAAATACTTTCAAAATTCATTAATGATGTAGACCAGATTTACTCTGTGTTTTCAATCAAACAAGTATACCTACACTTTGTTATGCCTGCTTTGGACAAGGTGACTTTCCTTTACATTGTTAGGACTTAGGAAGCAACTGAATCAGGAAATCTCTTCTCTAAGCTTTTGCCATAGTGACGTACATTTCAACACTGCCAAAACATTGCAGATGAAGAAAGTTGGTGATTTTGTAGAGCCACCAACATAAAAGATCTCTTTGGTGTGTCTGCTTTGAAGTGATAGCATTTCAGCACCATGGCAACCAGATTGTGGTAACATCTGTGATAGTTTACACGTCTCCATGGCAGCGATTTGGATAGGAAGCATCCATTTTAATGTAGGTGGTACTAGTAATATGTTGCTTGCATGAAAGGGTGGTGCCAATATTTGACGCTATGATACAGAGGCCTTTGGATAATAGAGCGGTTTGAACTTTTGGATACGATATACATGTACACTGGTGTGCATGTACATGTACATGTATATCTGTGGTAGTAACTATGCATAACTTGCATATTGCTATGCATTACTTGCATATTGCCATTTCCATGGATGGTGAACATTTCGTTCTCTTTTCAGGACATTTGACTACACCATACGAAGGGATTTCAATAATGCTTA